TAGTATTTTTTATTTACATATTATATGCTTTATTTATTATGTAGAATATTTTACAGTTTTAACTTAATATATGATTTTAGGACTAAAATAAATCTTGGGAAATGTAACTAGAATAATTTATACACCGAAAAAATTGATAAAAGCTAGCGAACCCTACTGATGAATTAGTGCAACATAATTGTTACAAATTTTTGTTTTATGACTCTTAGTTAGACCAGTATATCAAATTATCTATATTATTTACTAGGTTAAATTTTAATTCTAGTATATGTAACTAGCTTGCTTTGAGCCCCTCCCTCCCCAGTGGCACAGCGGTATGTCTGCAGACTTACAACGCTAGAATATGGGTTTCGATACCCGTGGTGGACAGAGCACAGATAGCCCATTGCGTAGCTTTGTGCTTAATTACAAACAAACAAGCTTGCTTTGATCAGAAGATACTTATGTTAATGGATATGTATTTTACAATATCTTACTTAGTTCAATCATGATGTTAGAAAAACACGTAGGTTCAAGAAGTCTTGATAGAAATGAATAGAAACCCTATAACCCGAGCTCTTTCAAAACGTGGGCCTTTCTTCTTCAGGGGCAAACTTAGTTCAATAATATTGTCCTTTCGGTTGGGTCTACCTCTTCTGCCAGTTTAAGTTTTTTCGGTGTAACGATGACCTTCAATAAAATGAGCGATATTTTTGTAAAATATTTGGATGGTCGCTTTGTTTGTTTGCTTTATAACAAAGCGACATTGGGGGTATCTGCTGTGTACACTGCGGGGAATCGACCCCCAGATTTTAGGGTTGGAATTCCGTAGACTTACCGCTGTCCCGCAGGGGGGGGGGGGAATTATATGGTTGCAAAAAAATCGAGTTGCAATATCGATCAACCACACCGATGACCGGATTAAACAGGTTTTCGATTTTAGAGGAGTATCCCCCATAAAGAAACTATCCACATAAGACAAACTTCAAGTGAGGAACATCTTTTTTTTATGCTTGTGCGATTTAAAGACTCAAAGTACACGTTTTTCCACGAAGGTTTCATTTTCTTAATTTTTCCATTATCCTTTATTGACTTATTTATGTTTGTTTTGCTTTAATTATCAGTTTTAAAACACAATGGAATGAATCATAAAACCTCGTGTTTTTTTAATACTCCGATATAGGCTATTTCTTAAATTTAAGCTTTAACCCTCTCACCGTATAATGTCTCTGATTTCCACTTAGACGACCATAATTTTTAAGTGATAGACTGGATGGAAGGTAGCTAGTCAACAGTGTCCAAAGCCACCTCTTAGACTACTCTTCACTGACCAATAGTGGGATTTGATTGCCAATCTTATAACGCACCCACAACATCAAAGTGCGGAGCGAATTTTTGGGGCAACGGGACGCTAGCCATGTGTCTTTGTATTTACAGTCAGAGTACACTAATCACTAAGCCATGCCCGGTTCTTGATGAAACATTTCTGTTCTCATTATTAAGTACGAGCTAAAAGCGTTTGTGGAACAGTATACAACTTCCCAAACTTTTGAGATGTGTAACTTAACAATAACTCTTTTTAAGGTGAAAAAAGGGGCGGCCCGGCATGGCCAGATGATTAAGACGCTAGACTCGCAATCTGCGAGTCGCGGGTTTGAATCTCCGTCTTACCAAACATGCGCGCCCTTTCAGCCGTGGGGGCTTTATAATGTGACGGTAAATCCCACTATTCGTTGGTAAAAGTGAAGCCCAATAGTTGGCGGTGGGTGGTGATGACGAGCTGCCTTCCCTCTAGTCTTACACTGCTAAATTATGGACCGCTAGTTCAAATAGTCCTCGTATAGCTTTGCGCGAAATTTATAAGAAACCATAAGAATAAGAAAATAAAAAAGCTGAACTTAGCGGATGAGGTTACACTAACAAGTTGGATTATTTGAATTAATATCAATTGTTAAATACAAACAAGAATAAACTACTATTATACGCCATTGTTGTACTCATACTTTAAAAAAAAATTATATTAGCTCACTTAGTTCGCTATTATCATGAAATTTAAATTATAGAGATAAATTAAAGAAAATTAATAAAATTAGCTCAAAAAACAGTTATTGTAAATTATTGTATACTTAGGAATTAAGTATACTGAGGGCTTATAACGCTAAAATCCATACAATGATGATAATCCATTGAGCAGCTTTGCACTTAAAATAATGAAATAAGAGTAATGCACAAGCAGGAGCAAACAGCCCCTCCCCCCAATAAGTATATGCATAGGAACTCGGCCATTTTGGTGAGTTTAATGTTATTTCTTTCTCTACATGTGATGTACATGCATGTGTTGGTAGGGTTCATATAAACATGTAATGTGTGTTTGCTTAACCCTCGCCCTCAGTAGCAGTAAAAGTCAAATTCCTGTGCACAACCTCCTTTGATCTGCAAGTGTCATTTTTCTTAATCAATTTCTTCACGATTTTCCACGTATAAATTAATTACCGCTTCAATCTTCGCTTCCAAGATCTTCATCGTGTGGTCCAGGTTTGACACGCTTAGTTTATTGACACTCAGAAACTTCCTGATGGTATTCTCTGCATCTGCATACCGCTTCCTGGTTAGAAGCCATCTTGGAGATTCGGGGAGGA